CTCCGCAGTCTCAGCCTCAGGTTGATCCTGGGTGGAGTGGACCTATATTGAGTTTTCCTCCTCCTGCGGAGACTGAAGCTGGAGCTGGTGGAGAGGTGACTCCTCGTACGGCGCAATTTTACGATATGATGGGTATACGTCCTCCAGCGCCGTAGTTTGTTCCTATGATTTTTATTTTGATTTTTTTATAGAACTTTGCCTTAGACTCACTATTTTTAGACACATTTTGTATATTTATGCTATTATGAGTTTATTTTGTTTGCTATTATTATGTGTATGTTTGTGTGTGCAAGAAAAGCGTGACAAACAATTTTGCGCAAAAATTCCGTCATTTTTATTATTGATGGAGGGTATCCAACTCTCTCCCCCAAAAAGAAAAAATAAAAAAGGAAAAAAAATCAAATAAAATGTTGGGTGTGTATAAAAAACTTGGAAATTAATCTAAATAAAGTCCAAAAAGGAATAATATAATTAATATAGTAGCTATTTTAATTAATTAAAAAAAGGATAAAAAAATGTTTAGAAAAGATAAACGGAGCCGTAAAGTCATTAGCCGACTCAAGTTTAGGATAAAAACGCAATTTAAGCAAGCGCGCCTGATGTGGCAACTTGGCGCCAGCTGGCGCCATGCAATGGCGCGTAGTGCCAGGCGCTACACTTGGCGTGTGGCGCCAAGCGCCAATTACGGAGTCCGATGCCAATTGGCGCTGATTTCGTATTTCATTCTGATTAAAACTTCTCGCAATTGGTGTATAAATAACCCTCTTCCCAGCCGATTCTTCTCATAATTCCAGCAAATAAAATAATTCTTTGCCTTAGAAAAATAATACCATGTCTTTAGTCATCAAAACTTTCACCCAATACACTCATGAATGGTGTCGATCTCTTAATGCTAGAGATAGAAAAGAATTAGATTTGTTTCACTTGGGGGGATTTATGGCATCAAAGGGGTAGATCTTGACTTAGATTTCATACATACCGCTCTAGAATTTTGGAATGTTGATACTCATTGCTTTAGAATAGGGTATGATGAGATTAGCCCTTTGCCAGAAGAATTTGGTGCTATTTTAGGCTTCCCTGCAATAGACCTCACAATAATCCCTAGAGTAGATGCATATTATTATAAGGATTTTGAGCGCTTCTTTAATTTAAAAGAAAGGGGTTTATCAAAAATAGTAGATGGAAACATAGTTAATTTAAAAGAATTTGCACGCCATTATTTTGATAAACCTCTTTATGAATCTTTTCATATATATAGAAGAAGAGCGTTCTTATTTTGCATGCTTAATCAATTTTTTCTTAGTAGTGGTAAAAATAATGAAGGTCAATCAATTATGATAGTTGGAGAGAAATTGAATCAGGGAGAAATCCAATGACATTAATAGTTGGAGAGACTATGATTAGTCTTGATGAACTGAAAAGGAACCCAAAAGCACCTTTTTGCGGTTCTCCAATTTTATTACAGGTAGAAAAATAATATTTTTAATTACAGAAATCAAAAAATATATTTTTGTATTGTAATAATAATTTATTTGCATTGCAATTTTTTACAGATGTGGCTAATGGAAAGGCTAGGACTAATTATCCCTCTGGACGATATTGAGAAATATACTCCCAATTGGTACGTGAGAAGGAAGAAATGCTTCCCTAAAATTGGGCGCCATGAATCTCGCGACTTTGCTATCAAGTGGGTCGTCCCATGGTGGAAAATAGAAAGGATGGTTGGTGTCAACATGCAACCTTTCTGCCGTCTTCCAAGCTTGTCTTGTATGACTTATTATTACCCCTGCAGGGTAAAAAGACAATACGGCTTGCTTCAGAATATTCCTTCCGGGGATCTTCGTCCTCCCTATGAGTACTCTGTTTCCCAAGAAGTAGATAGATTTGATGCTTACTGGAGTGCTAGACCTTTATGGGAAGTGATTACTCAAAAGGTTCCTCCTTCTTTGCCCAATGATGTGAAGAAGTGGTTGCTGAAGAAGCCTTTGAAGGATTCGAAGAAAGGTCAGGGTAAAACTGATGTGAAGAGTCGTCTAGGTGACAGGGTGATTCCTGCCAAGGAACGCCTAGGTGCAAGAGTTGAATTCAAAACACCTGCAATGCCTAGAAAGAAAGGTGTTACCAAAGATAAAGGAAAAAGGAAAGCTGACTCCACAGATAAAAAAGCTTGGGTGGAAAAGAAGCATGGAGTGCTAGCTGAAGGGGAGACTATCTACTCTAAGATTGAATGTAGTTCCTCTAAAGGATGCCTACTAGCTAAAGTTATGGATGAGGAGGAGGAAGCAGACAAAAATTGGAAAATGGCTAGGAAAGAAAAGAAAAATTAGGAGCATTGCTTAATCTTCAAATTATTAGACTTGGTTTATTTTTCATTTAAAGTTAATTTATTTCAGCTTTATTTAAATTCCATCAATAGTGTAATTTTATTTTATTAATGAAATTTCAGCTTTTAATTAAATTATTTACTTTAAATTTATTTTATTAAAGCAATGAAAACCGAAAAATTAATTTTCCAGAAATTCTTCGAGTACGGAAGTCGAAAATTTTCTGAAAAAACACCGAAATTTGCCCATAATTTATTTTCAAATTGGCGCCGCTTATTTGCGATTGGCGCCTGCCAGGGAAATCTGGCGCCAGGCGCCAATTTCATCCGCTAGCGCTGATAATTGTTGGCTGCGCCAGGTTCTTCTCTGCGACGCTGATATTTCGCCGATCTTTTGCTGAATTTTTAAGTAATTTTGGGACGCGGGGCTGTCGAAAAATAAGGTGGTCGCACCCGTAAAGGGTTGCCTACGTATCCTTTCATAAGGAATCAGGCTAAACGTAGCTCTCCTGAGTATCTTACTCAAGTAATTATGGGTAGTATTTTTTAAGTTGGTCAAGATTTGTCATGTTCGAGAATTCATTGCCATCCATATCAGTTAGTTTTGCTGCACCTCCTGACATGATTCTTTTGACAATGTAGGGTCCAGACCAATTAGGTCTAAATTTACCCCTTGGATCTAAAACATTTTTCCTTAGTGCTTTTACCACCAAGTCTCCTACTTTGATATTTCTTGTCTTGACCTTCTTATTAAAATGCCTAGCCATACGAGTCTGGTAACACCGAGTGTGATGTAGAGCTTCTAGTCGTTTCTCATCGAGTAGAATTAATTCTTCATATCTTTACCTAGTCCATTCAACTTCATCGAGTTTACTCTCTAATGCAATGCGTAGAGATGGTATTTCTAGTTCGACAGGTTGTACGACATCCATTCCATATACCAAGGAAAATGACGTATTTCCTGTTGATGTACGGATTGACGTGCGGTAACCCCACAATGCGAAGTGAAGTTTGTCAGGTCAATCCTTTTAATTTTCCGTTATTTTCTCGATGATAGTCTTTAAATTTTTATTAGCTGTCTTGACTGATCCATTTTCTTGAGGTCTATAAGGGGAAGAATGATGATGTTGAATGCCGTATTTTTGTAGTAATTCTTCACATTCAGCTTGAAAGTGAGTTCCATTGTCACTTATCATTTCATGTGGGACTCCATATCGACAAATAATATTTCTCTCGATGAAGAGTGCTACATGTTTTGCAGTGAGTTTAGCGTATGATTGCGCTTCGACCCACTTTGTGAAGTAATCAATTTCTACTAGGATATATTCGTGGCCTCCTGTTCCTGGGGGAGTGATTTTGCCAATGATGTAAATTCCCCATGTAGAGAATGGCCATGGCGATGTGTAGGTGTAGAGCAAGGATGGAGGGATATGTTGTAAATTGGCATAAATTTGGCACTTAGGGCATCTTTTTCCGTATTGATGGCAATCCCTATTCATTGTAGTCCAATAATATCCTTCTCGCATTATCTTTTGGACTAACATTTTGCCATTTATATGAGTGCCACAAATTCCTTCATGAACTATTCTCATTGCTCTTTGTGCATCCTTCTTTCCTACACATAAGAGAGCTCGACCCTTAGGTACCCTTTTATGTAGCTCGTTGTCTATGAGTACATATTGGGAAGCTAAAAGCCTTAATGCTCGTTTTGCTCTTTTGTCAGCATGAGGAGGGTATTCTCCTTTGGTGACATAATTGAGTATGTCCGTGTACCATGGTTCTTCTTCTTCTTCTTCTTCTTCTTCGCCTTGGACTACTTCGCCGTCTTCTATAACCTGGATGTATGCTTGTTTGTGTCTTTTTTCTATAGTTAGAGGCATTTGCTCGATTTCCGTGGGAATCCTAACCATTGAGGCTAATCTTGCTAAGCATCAACAAATTGATTTTCCTCTCTAGGTAGATATGTATATTCTACCTTGTCTAACTGATCGGTAAGAGTTTCCAGATAGGTTTAGTAAGGGGCTAGACTTTCGCTCCTTACTTTCCACCTTTTAGATATCTGATTGATAATTAAAGAAGAGTCTCCGAATATCCTTAACTTTTTTACTCCCAATGCCAAAGTTGTTTCAAGGCCTACCACGCATGCTTCATATTCAGCAGCATTGTTGGTAACGTCGAAATCAAGCTTTATGGAGATTGGAACATGCTCTTCTTTAGGTGATACTAGTACTACAAAAATGGCCAAAGAGACCATATCAAAATGGGCAAAGAGACTACCTTAGGGGTAGTCTCTAGCTCACAGGTCTCTTTGGCCAAAGAGACCACTTTATTAAAAGTGGTCTAACTTTATAATACCTTAGACCACCTAGCTAAATAGATGATCTCTTTTTTTAGTTTAATAAAAAATAATATAGAGGGATAAGAGACCAAATGTTTTAAATAAGTGGTCTCTGGATTTAAATACTGAGACCACCTATTTTAAATGAGTGGTCTTTCTTTTTTGAATAATGAGACCATTTATTTAAAATAGGTAATCTCTCTGAGGTCGCTTTTTTTTTAAAAAAAAAATTAAATAATTATATTCATCTAATATCCCTCCCTTTTGCAATTCATATTCCTGCAATAAATTTTGGCGCCAATATATATGTTGTTGTACCTACGCGCTAATACATATATATACATAAATTTTCCATATAATATATATAAATATAAAAGCTTTTATACAAAAACTAATTTTCTCCAACAGAATTTAACCCAAAATTTACATTAATTATAATATTCAAAAACAAAACTCAAAAGTAGAGCTTTTCCTACAAAAAAAAAAAAAAATCAAAAGTGGAGCTAAATTCACAAGTATAATGATTAACACTAAGTTAATCTCTTACTCAAGCTCAGCTCATTCATCATTAAGCTCATCTATCACGAATCTTCTTCAATCAAGAACATATTTAATCCACAAATCTTGCATTTCATCAATGTCTTCCGAAGAATATGTACAAATTGAGGGAAAGACCTGCAACATACAACATATGCCATCAAATAACTGAATAATTTATTTATTTATTTTTGAAGGAAATCAGAGAGATATTTGACCAAAAGCTAAAAAATCAGACATAACAAAGCATATTGATGAGCATCCTGAATCCACAACCTTAGCTCACTTTTTCTTTTTCTTTTTCTTTTTTTTTTTAACAAGGAAAGGAAATATATTACAACTTAGATGTTAAAACATCTAGCAGATCAGAGTTTGTAAACAGAAGCAGTTTCCAAGTTTGCTTACTAGCTGAAAATTACAAACCAAGAAACCTTGACCAACCAAAAGACAGAAAGTAAAGATTAGCTAAAAATAAAAGCATGAAAGAAAAGTAGAAGTGATAGTTGATAGGGGAGCCTCGCAACAGGGACTTAGGAGCAGCAGCAAAAGAAGGCATGCGATCATTTGCCATCTAACATGGAAAAGGAATTAGCAAGTTCCTTGATGTAGGGTTGGTTAAGACCAGGAGGGAAGCAGAAATGGAACAAGATATCTTCAATCATCCTCCTGGCAATCTTAGCCAGCCCATGGGCTAACATGTTCGAGGAATCGGATGCCTCTCTCCCAGACAATGTTTAGACCTTCTGTGATGACTCAGCAACCGTGGGCTGTGTGCAATAGGAAGAGGCGTAAACCCGCAGTAGCAAACCAATGCAAGGCAAAGGAGCCAGACAGTCAGCCAAGCAAACAGACAGACCAATACAACCAGAAAGACACCAGTTGGGAGATAGAAGAAAAGCTACTTAAGGAAGTCTCAGGGGTCAAGAGAAAGAGTCAACCTTGAAATTTTGGAGAAAAAAAAGAAAAGCAGATAAACAAAAGAACTAGAAGACAAACATCATTAAGAAATTACTTCTAACTTGTTTTGTATATATAAATAATAGGGGAGTAAAGGAAGGGTATGTCTTTTGAATATTGAAATTGTGAAAGTGAGATTGACAGCCTCAAGTTGTTAGGGAGAGTGACAACCTTAAGTTATTTTTGGTAGATAGTGATAGGCTAAAGCTATCAGCTAATTGTGTTCTTGTAATTTTCCCTTGTTAATGAAAAGTAATCTCTTGCTTGCTGCCCCCTTGAGTGTGTGCTGTGTGCGTGAGTAAGTTCAATTCATAACCCCTTCTTTTATAGCTTGTAACTCAGCGGAAGCAACCCTTACAGTCTTGATTTTCATGGAGTAGCATAATGTGAATTATATGCTATTACCTTTAAGTTATCACAGGTTAGTATAGATGTTAGCCCATCACACCATTAGCTTACTTAATTTCAAGACTCAGTTCGATTATAAGAATAGTAGAACATTGAAATTGTCAAAAGTGTAAAATTATGATATTCTTCTGTCAAAACATATTTTGAGCAAGACTTTTGTCTTCGACCCTTTGTCCAACAACGAAATATCTTTGTATTGTTCATAAATTGAAAACTGTTCCGACAATTCATGTCAAAACAATATGCATGCTAGAAACACATCAACTTTATATTACAAAATATATACAAGTTAGCAAACAGTCAAGCATGAAACTTTTCATGTTCCTCTGTTGTAAACAATCCACTTAGCATATAATATATTATTAAACCAATATTCACCTTAATTAAATCTATAATTCCATTCAAAAGAATGTATAGAGCAAAATGAATTACCTGGATCGTCACAGGGACTCTTGCTGATGGTATTATCATGAGACATGGTGTAGCAAATTTAGCTATAGTTTCCTAATAATACATAGAAAATAACCAAAATTACAATGTACTCAATATAAATTGAAAAAAGATGAGAAAATTAAGTAGAAATTTCATAGTTGAACCTTAACATTAAAGGGTTGTGCAATACAGTTCTTTCAAGAAAATCTATCATGAGTAAAAAGCAGTAACACTGCAAGTTCGTGATCGAATACGTGCCGATAGATATTATCGGCAAAACCAGATACGTGCAGTGTACACTGATATAAACATGTACAGATATTCTCTTCTATGTTCCATCATTCGTGATCGAATTTATACAAACTGATGTGTGTAGGGAATTTATAACTACTTCTGTCAGAAAGAACTATGCCAAAGGAGGTTGCCGGAACTCGGAAGCATATCATTAACTATCAGAAATTGACTCTTCAAGACGCTTTGGGAGTCCACTACTTGCAGGCCTTCAGAAGTTCAAAGAATAATAGAAAGAGGTTCAAACATGTCAGTAATAGGGTTAAAAAGAACAACGTGAAAAGAGAAGCCACTAAATCATGAAAAATTGAAACAAAACTATATCAAATATACAGTAGTAATCAGGATTTCCAAACAAAAACGTAAATTGAGTAGTACTTGTAGATCATTCATCGTGCTGAGAGATAAGACATGCTTAGAAATCGTCAAACACTCAGTGTAAGACCTGCATCTTATTCAATGTTAGATGAAAACAAGGTGTCCCTACTCACTGCAAGAGAGTAGGATATGTAAGAGGCAGGCTGCTAGCCAGCCATCATTGTTAAAGGTGAGGTTATTTAACTGGACAATCAGAATGCATAGCCCATATATACATACAACTCCTCTCATAGGCTACGGCCAAGTGAGTTCAATGAGGCATTGTTCAGACTCCAAATTCAAAGTGTCAAGACTGCTAATTGCCAAGTTTTCTATCAATTATGCATTGCTTACGTTCCAATTCCTAAGTGAATATTTATTGATTAATTTCTCTAGCCGTCTACTATCGTGTTGCTGAAGGATAAAGGCATTCAAGCCACAACAGAGAACTAAAGCAATACACTTATAAGATTACTCTGGATCGGTTTTAAGTAGAGTATTACTAGGGCCTTGTACTGTTATAAACTCATTGTAATCTTGCATTTTTTTCCCCTTGTTATCACTCGGATACTTGATAAATTTCCGCATATTACATAATGTGCATTGAGACTTGAGAGTCTCCCCATATTCATCCTTTTACTTTAAAAAGTCACAGCTTCCGGCCAAATGACTCACTTTGTCACCTTAATCATTATCAGGGATGAATATATTATACAAGTATTAAACATTTTTTGCATATAGTAACCACACTTAAAACACATGATCAAGCAGGGATTTCACCCTTTATTCCTCTGGCTAATGCCTATAATACACTGCTAGATTTTCAAGTTCTTCACTTATTCCTAGATGCATCACTCCATATTCCATACTAAATTAAAATAAACTAAAATACACTAAATTAAATCAAAACACTATAAATCAAACAAAATCTAAGATTTGAACTAGAAATTATGCAAAAGAACCCTAAATTTGGAATTTTAATGGGAATGTTTAAAGAAGCTCATACCAAGAATACCAATCAAAACACTTCAGATTATCTTAACTATAGTAGCACAAAGAACAACATATACAAGGACTCTAACTCCTTAAATAGGTTATGCCAGAGACTTATAAAACAATGATTTAGCATACATAATTCAATTTTTATATTCTTTTATCAGATTTCTAGAATAAGATTTCTAAAAACAAGCAGAAATCCACTATAACTCACTGAAAGAGCATTTTAATTCCCAGATTAATTCCCATAATTTCAGCTAGAATTGAGAATAAAATATTAGAGCATTTTAATTCCCACAATTTCAGCTAGAATTGAGAATAACATATTAGCAAAAATATTCATAGACATACCAATCAGATGATGGGAATTTAAATTAAAGATCCGAGTTTTAAAAAACATGGAACAAAATTAGTGTCAAATGGAAGGAAAAAATAATTCGCAGAAAATGGAAGGAAAAAATAATTTGCAGAATTAAGGAATGGAAATAATTGTGTTCGCAGTTTTAAAAAATTTCTGCGAATTTTGAAAAATAATTCGCAGAAAATAAAAATAATTAAAGAACGAACCTTGAATGGAATGAGAGGAAGAGCAAGCGGTTGCCCAGCGTGACAATGACGACGTAACGTCACTAACGAGTGACTTGCTCTGGTGGAGCGACTGTGAGAGCGAGAGAGTGAAGCCGCGAGCAACGTCTGGAGTTGTGAAGGTGAGAGTTTCGCCGGATTCAAGCGTCGGAAGCACTGTCGACGGCGGCAGAGACTCGAGAGCGAGGAAGCTGTAGCCGCTCAATCGGAGTCGGATTCTGGCGTCGAAGAGCTTTGGATGAGTGATTTCGTCAACGCGAGGGAAGGTGATGATGTGGTGGCTGATGAAGAGGTTTGGATGAGTGATTTCGGCACCGCCGATGAAGATAGTGGTGGAATTTGCGGCCGGAGGTGAGAGGTTAGAGAGAGAGAGAGAGAGAGAGAGAGAGAGAGGAGACAGGCGATGGGGGTATGGGATTAGGGGGAAATGGAAATAGGGTTTGGGTTTTCCTCTTTGCCGAGTTTTTAGAGTTTTAAATTTTTTTTTTCGGAACCTGACTTTGTAAATAGATGTTTTTTTTATTTAACTAAAAAAAGAAGAGACCACTTTTGTAAATAGATGGTCTCTTATTTATTTAATTAAAAAAAAGGGGAGACCACTTTTATAAATAGATGGTCTCTCTTTTATTTATTTATCTAATTAAAAAAAAGGGGAGACCACTTTTTGTAAATAAATGGTCTCTCTCTTTTCTTTATTTATTTAATTAAAAAAAGGAGAGACCACTTCTCCTAAATAAATGGTCTCTCTTTTTTAATTTATTTAATTAAAAAGTAGGAGAGACTACTTATTTAAAATAGATGGTCTTTGGTACATTTTCTTGTCTCTAAGATTATACATAAGAGACCATTTATTTGAAATAGCTGGTCTCTTGAATCCAAGAGACCACACATTTATTTAAATGATCTCTTACTTAAGGTCTCTTTGAGCATTTTTGTAGCGGAGTACTCCAACGCCACATCCCTTTTGGTTTGAGGCTCCGTCGAAGTATAAGGTCCAAGTATCATCTTCAGTGACCATTAAGTCTTCATCTGGAAATTCATTGTCTTGTATTGGCGTCGAGTCTTCTATTGGAAAATCTGCTAGAAAGTCTGACACCACGGATCCTTTGATAGCTTTTTGTGGCATTAACCTTACATCAAACTGGGCTATATTGACTATCCATCTTGATATGCATCCATTGAGTGTAGATTTCTCAAATAGATACTTGAGTGGATCTAATCGGGAGACTACGAAGACGGTATGCACCACCATGTAATGTCTTAACTTGGTTGTGGCCCACACCAAGGCGAGGCACAACTTCTCGAGCGGTGTATAGCGTGCTTCGTATTCAAGCATCTTCTTGCTTAGGTAGTAGATTGCGTTCTCTTTGCCTTCTACTTCTTGTGCTAGCATAGCTCCCATTGTCTCTTTGGTAACCGTCAAATATAACCTAAGAGGTATTCCGGGAAGTGCTGGTGCTAATACGGGAGGGTTTGCGAGATAGGCTTTGATCTTTTCAAAGGCTTTTTGACACTCGTCATCCCATATTACTGGTACATTCTTCTTGAGTTTTTTGAAGATTGGTTCATATATTGTCGTTAATTTTGATATGAACCTACTTATGTATTGCAACCGGCCAATAAATCCTCGAATCTGTTTCTCAGTCTTGGGCGGTGGCATTGACATGATTGCTTTGATCTTGGTTGGGTCTACCTCTATTCATCTAGAGCTTATGACGTAACCTAAAAGCTTGCCTGAGGTGACTCCAAAAGCACACTTAGCTGGATTCAGCCTCATATTATATTTTCTCAACCTTTCGAAAAATTTCGTTAAGGCTACTTGATGGCCTGGACGGTCTTTTGATTTTACAATCATGTCTTCGACATATACCTCGACTTCTTTATGCATCATGTCATGGAGTAAGGCAGTTGCTGCACGTTGGTAGGTAGCACCCGCGTTTTTCAACCCGAATGGCATTACCGTGTAGCAGTAAGTGCCCCATGGTGTTATAAAAGTTGTTTTCTCCATGTCTTCTTCTGCCATGAGAATCTGGTTGTAACCTGCGTACCCATCCATGAACGAAAGAAATGTGTGACTTGCCGTGTTATCTACCAGAATATCGATGTGTGGCAAAGGGAAGTCGTCCTTTGGACTTGCCTTATTTAGATCTCGATAGTTGACACACATTCTTACCCTTCCGTCTTTCTTCGGAACTGGGACGACGTTGGCGACCCATTCGGGGTATTTGGATACCTTGATGAAACCTACAGTTATTTTTTTTTTGAACTTCTTCTTTTATTTTAAGAGCTACGTCAGGTTTCATTCGACGTAACTTTTGTTTTACGGGTTTCATTCCTGGAATTAGTGGTATAGTGTGTTGAGCTATTTCACTATTAATGCCTGGCATATCTTCATATGACCAAGCAAATACATTGATAAATTTTGTAAGTTAGTTAATTAAATTGGTTCTTTCTTGTTTATTTTAACTTCTCTTTTATGAGTTGAATCATTTGAGATATCAGCTGTTTCAGTTTCTTCAATTACCGGTGTTTTCTTTTCGAGTGTTTCCATTGCTTTAATAATTTCTTTGTCTTTTTCATTGTTAGTTTAGCAATGCTCGTCATCTTGGGTTAGAGAAGAACACGAGAAGTAAGGAGAATTAGAAATATTATTATACTCTGAGATCATTACATCAAAGAGTGATATGTCCTCAGGGACTGGATTACTAACTATCCTAGGAGAAGAAAAAGGAGGGGGAGGTGTCACTACTAAAGACTTAGATGACTCAGACTCTGATTTAGACGACTCTTCAAACATCGGTCCTTGCCCTATCGTGATGGATATCTTCCTTCCGCTTGGAGTAGTTACCTTGATAGTCTTGCGCCATCCTTGTAGGGATCCTTCAGCTGGAGTGATTAGCTTCGAGGGATCGAAGCTTTCACTTTGTAGGACTGTTTGAATGAGCGAGGAGTTATCCTCTTTATAAGTTGGCTCATTCTTTTTTTTCCCAAACAGTAATCCCATGACGTTAAAGTCAAAGCATGGGGGTGCTTTCTCCTTGTAGACGGGAGTTGGGATTTAATCAGTGAAGAAGCAATCCAAGAAAATCTCGAATCCCGGTTGTCTTATGTCGTTTACAACAAATGGCTCGGGAAATTCATGGGATGGATAGTCCTCTCCTTCTTTTATAAACTGACCATTAAGCGTAAGAGGGTACTGATCCATTGGGATTGCTTTCTTTTGAATGCGAGCATCCCTACGTGCTTTTGACTTTTCCTGGGCTCGCTTGAGATCTTTCCGAGTCGGTTCGAAACCAAGTCCGAAAGTGTCTAACTTAGGGAGGCCAGGCGACTCTAGCGGTTTTTCCATTCCTTTCTTCTTTTCTAGGGTCATCCCAGGAAAATGTCCTTGTTTCTTCAGCATGGCATTGACAATCATGTTGGAATATGGGTCATGGCAAAGAGGGGTCCTTTCATCCTCCTGGATTAAGGAGAATTCTTCGTTAAAGCCCCATAAATCTTCATCATCCTCGTCGTGCTCCACATTAATGATTGGATTCTCTATATATTTGATCCTCATAGGCGAAGCATCGATGGTGATTGGAATTCCCCCAACTATAGCTTTTACTTGTTGGTGGAGAGATGAAGGGACGACCTTTAGATCATGAAGCCAAGGGCGTCCCAACAACAAGTTGAATGAAGCTTTAATGTCTACTACTTGGAAAGTAGTAGCATGTTCTATTGCTCCTGCCGTTACATTTAGGGTAATCTTGCCAAGAGCTTGACGATGAGTGTTGTCGTAGGCCCTTATTCCTTGTGTAGACGGAGTCAAATCTAAGTGGACAGACGTTGATGGCCGATCCATTGTCTACAAGAGTCTTAGGAACATTCATCCTCTTGCAAACTACTGTGAGGTTTAATGCCTTGTAATGTTTTTCACCTTCTGGGGGTAAATCTTTGTCAGAAAAGGTGATCAAATTAATCAGACTAAGAAGGTCACTTATGAGGAAGTTTGCTAATCCCTCAGGAGTAGTGTCAGAATCTATCCCAATTTTGTCCAAGGCATTCATTACAGCCAGCCTATGTTCTCGAGATGTTGCCAGAAGTTTTCATACATTCATCTCAACTTTTATCTTCTTAAACTGCTTAACAATATCATTGTCTTCAATGATAGGTATGGGAACTTGTTGTGTGGTTGGCATAGGTTGTGTTGAAACGGGAGGTTGCATTCTCCCAGATCTTGTGAGGACGTCTATCGATGAGTCTTCTTCAGCCCAAATGTCATCTGTGGTGTATGACACAGAAGGTATAGGTCCTACTATGTCCTTTAGATAGACATCTTCTTCATCACTGTCCCATAATCCATTGATGGTTGCATCATCTTCTTGTTGCACTCGGACTAGTTTCTTTTCATCAATCATTTTCTGAACCAAATCCTTGAATTTGAAATAGTTTTCTATAGTGTGACCCCCTGATTGATGATACTGACAGTAATATCTATCTGTTCTTTTCAACAATTCAAATGGTCTCTGTTCGAGAGGTTTGATCTCGCCACTCTCGGAGAGCATTTAGAACATTTGTGCATATGGGATCCCAATTGGAGTGTAAATTCTATTGCTCTTCTTGGGTTTTTCAGTGACTTGTAAGGGAAAATACTTTGCCTCATAAGTTGTTCTCACTGGTGTGAATTCCCTTTTAGGTTCATCTTTCGGAAGTGGAACCTCATCACATTTCTTTTGGGATTCCTTTATAGCCTTGAGAGCTTCACGTAGTAGATGCGATACCTCCATCATAGACAGTGTGAGCAATTGTATATCTTCCTTACTTGCCGGTTCTGGAAGGTTATCCTTGACATCGAAAAAGATTTCCTCTTCCTTTTCTGCGGCATGGATTTCTTTGACGGGTCTAATGAGAGATGAGGGGTCAACCTCGTTTTCCTCATCAGAGATAGCCACGGTATGAGCGAGAGGTGCATTGTCAATGCTTGGCTTCTTACTGGCAGGGGGCAACGACAGCTTGTTGTTGTCGATTAAGTCTTGGATGGCTTCCTTAAGCTTCCAACAATTTTCGGTGAGATGGCCCCTACCTTGGTGATACTTGCAGTGTGCATTGGGGTTCCAATTAGCCAACCTCTTCTCGACTGGTGGGTCCCCAAATGGTCCAATAGGAGTTATAAGACCTTTTGCATTTAATCGATCAAATGTGGTGTCATAACTCATGCCAATAGGAGTGAAGTTCCTCCTAAATGGTTTCTTCTTTCCTTGATTGTTCATAGCAAGGACTTCTCCTAAATTAAAAGTGCTAACGTTGTTTGAGTGGGCGGTTTTGGAAGAAGAAGGATTGTCGTTCTTCTTTCCTTTCCAGCCACTGTTGGAGTTATTGTTGGCAGCTTTTAACTTAGCCAAGTCGTCTTCAATATTGATCCCAATGTCATAAACGACCTTGAAGGTATGGAAATTATTTTGATACTTGAGATGCTTGGAATATTTTTCTTGAAGA